CAAGGGCGCCGGTGCGAGCCAGCCGGCACCGAGTTCGATCCGTGCTCAGGACGGGCCACCTTCACCTAAGGATATCTCGAGGAGGGTGCATGTGGCGGGTAGGGCGATGCTACCGCCAAATATGCTGAATGCTGCAACCGGTGCTATGCGGAGTCTGCACGACAGTGTTCTGATTTTGGAGAAGCGGCGTCTCAGAGAGAAGGATGTGGCATACCCGGTTTTCGTGGCCAAGGTGCCAGAGAGCAAGGGCTTTGTGGATGGCGACATCGGGGGTATGATCGTCCTATGGTTTGATGACATCTTTGCTATGTTTAACCTTCATCCGTTGCACTACACCTTCGTTCGGCTGTTTTCGCTGAGCATGCAGATGCGGATCATTAGAGACAATACCCCGGACATCGTGATAGTCGACCCCTTCTACATGCGTGCCAAGCACTTGAGCAGCGCTGGGGACCGCCAAATTGCGAGTTCACACCTCGAAGGCGTCATTCTGGCAAACGCAGATAAGGATAACTTCCTTGTGCCTTACTTTCCCGAGTAAGTCATCCCTTAACCGCCCCGTAACATATGATTTCTTAGATTTCGATCGTTCTTTTTTTTCTAACATTCCGTGTTCTGTGCAGTGGCACACATTGCACACTCATCCTCTTAAGCCTGAAATATTCCATGGCCACGTATTTCGACCCGAACCGTAACTCCATGATAGACTACACAAATGTGAAGAAAGTTCTTGATGATGTTCTCCCCGGCTACGCCCAATCTGGAGGCACCTTCACCAGGCCAGTTCGTAAGTACGGCAAGCACATCTTCTCACACAATACGAAGTTCTGCTGCGTCAAGTAGCCGCCTGGCGGTCAGAAGGATGCCTACTACGCCCTCCATCACATGCGGGCGATCGTAAGGGACCATCATCACCTTCTGCTACCAGATAATCTCAAAGATTGGGCCGCGAGCTTGTCGGCAGTCCAGGACGCGGACCTCAGACAAGAATTCTTTCGCATCCAGTCGGAGTTTGCGGACATCATCCATCAAGATGTCCTTCATACCGCGGGGCAGTTCTTCCTCAGATATCAACCGTCCAACAGTGAGATAGATGAAATGCTACAAATGCAGGGTGACAACGGCCGTGATTTCATGACCATCACAACAGACGGCGGCTTCACCCACGCTCCTGTCCGATGAGTTGAGTCCAAAGTAGTGATGTGTAGTTCTGAAACATTGATTGGCTCATGTTGTAATTAAACTTTAATGAATTCGGATGTCTCTTTGGTTTGGACGGTTGTTCAACTTAGATGTAATCGATGCTATTTATTAGTAGGACCATGAATCGTGCTATTAATGTCTTGCTTTTCTCTTCCGATCCTTTTGTTGCATACTTACACATTGCTTATGTATTGTCTGTTGTTTGGCTTGTGCATAGAGATGCCGTCGTATGTCGTGTACAAGGGTAAGGTTCCCGGAGTCTACGATGACTGGGAGGAGTGTTGAGACAGGTTCACCGTTTCAGCGGTAACAGTTACAAAGGGTACACCACTAGGGCGGAGGCCGAATCTAGATACGCCCGCTATCTAGCGGGAGAGAGGAGGGAGCGTTGGAGGAACCGGATGAAGACCAGTTTGATCGCGATGATGCTCATCGTGATGACCACAGCTCTCTTCTATGTGATGGTAGTTTAGATGATCGATATCGACTTGTAATGTGAAGCAAACTCGATACTCGCGGTCTTGAGACTTGTAATGTTTTATCTTTGTCCGGTCTTTTGAATCCGGAGACTAATATGATGAATTGTATTCGGAGACTAATCTTCTATTGTATTTGATGAATCTGATGTTGCTGTGTGCTGCTGTCTATATTCTATGCAATAATATATTTTGTAACCTGTGCAAAAATCAGAAAAGCAAAAAGAATAAAACCTAATATTCATACTAATGGTGCACCACACAAGACACTAATGGCGCACTGTGATCATCACACTAATGGTGCATTAGCTGCTGGTGCGCCATTAGAATGCCAAAGCACATTTGTACATATGGCCCCTGGGAGGCATTCTAATGGCGCACTGCAGGCTATACTAATGGCGCACTACGCGGTGCGCCATTAGAACACCAGATACTAATGGCGCACCAGTAGTGCGCCATTAGAATTTAATTCTAATGGCGTGATGCCAGTGGCGCACCAGTAGTGCGCCATTAGAAGGCAAATACGGTGCGCCACTAGCATGCCTTTTCCTAGTAGTGAAGTCTTTATATGGCCTTAAACAAGCTTCTAAGGAGTGGCATGAGAAGTTCGAAAGAACATTAACTGCTGTCGGCTTTGTAGTAAATGATGGTGACATGTGTGTATACTATCGCCATAGTGGGGGCGAAGGAGTTATTCTTTGTCTGTATGTCGACGACATATTGATCTTTGGAACCAAACTTGATTTAATCAAGGAGGTTCAGGATTTCTTATCTCGTTGTTTTGAGATGAAGGATCTAGGAGTAGTTGATGTTATCTTAAAGATCAAGCTGTTGAGAGATGAGAATGGTGGGATCACACTGCTTCAGTCTCACTATGTGGAAAAGGTCTTGAGTCGTTTTGGGTATAGCGACTGCACGCCTTCTCCAACTCCATATGATGCTAGTGTGTTGCTTCGAAAGAATCGACGGATTGCTAGAGATCAACTGAGGTATTCTCAGATTATTGGCTCGCTTATGTATTTGGCGAGTGCCACGAGCCCTGACATCTCTTTTGTTGTGAGCAAGCTGAGTCGGTTTGTGTCAAAACCGGGAGATGATCATTGGCGTGCTCTCGAGAGAGTTATGCGCTACTTGAAGGGCACTGCGAGCTATGGGATTCACTACACCGGGTATCCAAGGGTACTGGAGGGTTATAGTGACTCAAACTGGATATCTGATGCTGATGAGATTAAGGCCACAAGTGGTTATGTTTTTACACTTGGTGGTGACGCTGTTTCCTGGAAGTCTTGCAAGCAGACCATCTTAACGAGGTCAACTATGAAAGTAGAACTCGCAGCATTAGACACTGCCACTGTTGAAGCAGAGTGGCTTCGTGAGCTATTGATGGACTTACCTATGGTTGAAAAACCAATACCCCCTATCCTGATGAACTGTGATAATCAAACTGTGATCGTCAAGATAAACAGTTCTAAGGACAATATGAAGTCCTCAAGGCATGTGAAGAGGAGATTAAAATCTGTCAGGAAACTGAGAAACTCCGGAGTTATTACGTTGGATTATATCCAAACGTCGAAAAACTTGGCAGGTCCCTTCACAAAGGGTCTATCAAGTAATGTGATAGATAATGCATCGATGGAGATGGGTTTGAGACCCACAGCATGAGTTGTCCATAGTGGTAACCCACTCTATGTGATCGGAGATACCGTGAAGTAGAAGTGGGAGACAAGTTGTTGGTCAGCTGAGAGGAGAGTATCCTTATTTTAATTATCCCACTCCGTAAAGATGCAATACTCTCCTGATCTGCATGGCAGGTTGATATCTATCTTAATGTGTTCCAAGTGGCTTATTTGAGTAAGCAGAGATGTTGTCCTGCAGAGCATCTCCTGAGGAACACACCTATATGAATTTGACTGTTAACGTCGCAGTCTGTGAGAAGTGGGTGCTCTCTAATAAATTCATGAAAAGCCCTGGAGTACGACGTATACGCTCCACCCGCGGGGAAGCCTTGCGGCAGCCCAGTACCGGTAAAGAATTTATGTGAAACTAGTCTCGCAGAAAACTTGTAGTTCAAGGCATAGTCCACTATTCAAGTTGTGATCTAGTGTAGCATAAATTTCTAAGTGGAAGTTCAACTTCACAGTCTCCACTAAGCACCGGTATATAAAAAATGTTTTGAAACCAAATGGTGAAATGTGCCAATGAGACTTTGTGGGGGATTGTTGAAATTTGCTGGTGGACTTTTGGCCCAAAGCCAACCTAAAATTCTGAAATTCTCTTGGCCCATTCATGCACACATGTGAGTGGAGTGAGTGAGGCTAAAGTTTAGTCCCACCTCATAAGTTGAGAGAGAGTTGCACCTCTTTATAAGATGAGCTCTCCTACCACTTGTATGAGCATGAGAAGAGGAGACCTACACGCGCGCTCCTCCTCCTCGCTCGCCTCGCCGCGCCACGCCGCGGGTTGCGGGATTGAGCCGAGCCGAGGACAGAGCTATGCACGTTGTCTAAATTTTTGCAGCTCGGGAAAAATTAATGAGTCATTAATTAATAATTAATGGACGCGTTAATTACTGAACCGTTTCCGATTCTTTTGGATCGTGACGACTCGGACGTGGGGTTTACTCCCACGACCTACCCGGCCCGCACTACATAGTCAGGCAGACCGCCGTTTTTCGTATGGTTTCTCACCGCCGTTCCAGACCATTGCGCCGCCAATCAAGTCTTCTCCAACCCTTTTTTCGGCGTGCACCGGGAGAAGGGACAGCAGGCCTCCGAACCCCGCCTCTCTTGATCCTGTATGGGAGAGGGGCGATCAGGTTTTTGGGGAGCGCACTAGCGCGACTGCTGGCAGCGACGACTTCCGAACGATGACTTCTTCCCCGACCTCGGCAACCTCATCCTCGACGACATGGGCGACAACGTCAACGCCGGCGGTGCTGCTCCCGCTGCACCGTATGTGATTCTATCTTTCCTGTTCGAGATCGTGGTAGAATTCATGTTTCTAGTATGTGTCCTAGATGTGATCTGTTCATCTATTATGCTAGTTCGTATGATTAGTTCAATCTCTGCTACTGTAGTCATGATTTATTTTCTGTTAATTCGGATTAATTCTTGTAGTAATTTGCTTATATTTTCAACAGACTCGCCGTCCAACGAGGCGCTCGTCGTCACCAAGAGGCTCGGGTTCCCTAGCTACACCTTGTTCACCTTCAGCGCCGCCACCTTTGTCGCCTTCGCCCAGCTCCCTACGGTCCTCGCAGAGGGCGGCCCGAGCTTCAAGGAGCTGGGAGACACCCATCTCGAGCTCTTCGGCCTTCCACCCATGCCGGCTTCGCATCTGTTGGGCGAGGTGCTCGAGGACCCGGAGAGCGACACATACAAGGCGATGATGGCCTTGCTCTGCCGGATCCCGGAGGCCGACGGCACGCTGGTGAATACGTTCGAGTCGTTGGAGGCTCGGGCCGTGGCTACTCTCAAGGACCCGCGGTGTGTCCCCGGCTGGGTATTGCCTCCGGTGTACTGCGTCGGTCCATTTGTCGGCAGCATCGCCGATGCCGAGGCAAAAGAGCGGCACGAGTGCCTCGCCTGGCTAGACGGCCAACTGGACCGCAGCGTCGTGTTCCTTTGCTTCGGGAGCATAGGCACTGGAAACCACTCTGAAGAGCAGCTCAGGGAGATCGCCGTCGGCCTCGACAAGTCCGGCCACTGCTTCTTGTGGGTTGTGCGAGCCCCCGCCAGCGACGACCCGGAGAAGCCACACGACCCCAGTGCCAACCCGGACCTCGACACGCTCCTGCCGGACGGTTTCATGGAGCGAACCAACGGCCGTGGCCTCGTCGTCAAGCTGTGGGCGCCACAGGTGGACGTCCTCCGCCACAGGGCCACGGGGGCGTTCGTGACGCACTGCGGGTGGAATTCGGTGCTGGAGGGCGTCACGGCGGGCGTGCCGATGCTGTCCTGGCCGCTCTACTCGGAGCAGAAGATGAACAAGGTGCACATGATGAGGGACATAGGGGTCGCCACGGAGATGGTCGGGTGGCAGCAGGGGCTGGTCAAGGCCGGCGAGGTAGAGGCCAAGGTAAGGCTTGTGATGGAGTCTGAGGAGGGTAGAGAGCTCAGAGCGCGGGCGGCGGTGCACAAGGAAGCCGCGGCCGCGGCTTGCGACGATGGCGGGACGTCGCGCTTGGCGTTTGCCCAGTTCCTGGCGGACGTGGCAAGCCGGCAGGATCGGGCTTTGCAGTGAGGAGGTGATCCATGTGAGCGAGTGATGCATGAGCTTGGCCTCCCGTACATGTTGCATCGGTACGGGGTTTGTTTTCCAATTTATTTTCCGGTCGATGATGTTCGGCCGCTGGATTTTACACTTCTAATAATATATGGCTGCACACATCATCTTCATGCGGAGGCCGGGGTTATCCTCTTTTAAAAAAAATCAATATGGGCTGCGTGTATTTGTCTCTTTGTTTTCGCTTTGTAGTAAGAGCTAGCGCCGGTATGCTTCTGTGACATTCGGTGCGGGGCAGGAAGATTCCCCAACACCTGATACCCTCGCAATAAATGAAGAAATGCTTATGTGTATCATACGACAGGGTATACAGCACTACCGAGATCAATGTGTCCAAGATTCATGTAGCTTTTTTGGGGGAGAAGATTCATGTAGCTATTTTTACTTTTTTAGTGATATACTCCTTCGGTTGCCGTTTTGGAACAAGCAGGTAGTTATGTCAAAAAACAAACTTGTCTTATACTCAGTAGTGTTTTGAGAAGAAAGGAAATGTGTGCTCTACAAACCTAAGACTTTTGAGTGTTAATATAAATAAAAAGAAAACAAATAACTAGTTAAGTAACATGAGTCTGTATTTGCAAAAAAAGTAACATGAGTCTAATGCCTGTGACTGATAAATAGCCAAGGTTTTCTATATGTTTGCATTAATTCAAATTTTGGGTTTGATGTCTTTGAAGCCGCCGTTTGCGGAAATATCGAGAACGTCAGCTTGAGAAGGAGCGGAAACATTCGATTCAACAAGCACATCGACAACATGCAGTCAGCTTCTAATGTTCCATTTGAAGGCTTCGTAGTCATGGAAGTGGCGGCGTCTCGATCTCTTTAGTGTCCCACTAGCTACCAAGCCTGTCCTGGCAAGCTCCTACAGTTCTTCTGCAGTGCTTGCTATGTACTCCCTCCATTCCAAAATAAGTAGCTCAACTTTGTACCGAAACAACCATTTATGTCCATCTTCTCTCGAGCTTGCTGGAGCAGTTGATGTACTGCAGCTACTGCCATAGCACAAGGACCATACTTCTTTCTTTCTTGTCTACAAACACAAAGGAATGAGATAAATTATATCTATGCCACGACACAAGTGTAAAATCTTAGTGGAATTGGTAAATAATAGCCTAACCAATTAGACTCCAACACACAGCAGAGTAGTAACCACAAATGGGCTATAGTACAGCCAGCAGCGAGTAAGAAGTGTGCTACTATCAATCATAACTTCTAATCTAGACGCAGGGGTAAATGCGGCTCGTCTATTCCATGACACAAGAGTAAAATCTTACAATGTCCAGTAAATTATTATGTAACAGTAGCTAATTATACTTCAACACACGAGCACATCAAGCACAAACCAAATAACCCATGCCGTTGAAAACAGAGCATGGTACTGTAGCAGCACAAGAGAGGGAGCTAGAGGTAGGAGATGGACTCACCGGAGAGGAGGTTGCAGTCGACGCAGCAGACAACCGCCGCCGCCATCACGCGGTAGAGGAGGTCGCCTCAAGAAGCACAGCCGCGCCGGAGACGCCGCCGCTTCGTCGAGTCTTCTAGTACAAAGAGATCATCAAAACGTATCACACTCATGACCACTGGCGGAGCTTAGTGCAAGCAAAACTGGGCCGTGGCCCGCCCAATTTTGCTGCAAACCAGTGGGCCTTTAGGCAGAAATGGGCCATGGAGGAAAAGAACATTTGACTTTCTTCAAGCTGGCCCGCCCAGTGATTCTGTTGTAGCTCCGCCACTGCTCATGACTAGTGCTGCTATCAAGGGAAAGAAAATTTAGATGATTTGAAACAAAGCTTTCACTTGACATCGATACACATAAGTATCTATCAATGATATATGATTAGTTGCCAAGCATAACACGAGGTACATGTGGATAATTTCTGCCCCATTTAGCTCAAACAATCAGCATTAAACAGTAGACAAAGGAGCTAGTTTTTACCAAATGCCAGAACAAAAGTTGTAACTTTAGCTAAGGAGCAAAAAAGATTTATCGTGGACATAATGCTACGACAGACCAAGCAAATATTACATACATAAATGTGCAGTAGTGCTACTCTGGACTAAGCAGATTCGATCAATTAGACGGCCAATTTATACTAATTAATAATGCTTCCTTCATGCAAACAAAACATCAGCAAACTGTTGAATGGTGTCCACCCACCAATGATAGATTGACAGTATGGAGGACTGCACTGCAATCAGTAAGGATGCAAATTTGAAAGCACCCTCCGATCCTTGTTAGTTCAACCAAATGAAGTAATTTTCTTCAGAAGTGAGGTGAATTCTGAAATTTATGGTTCATTTAGTTGAACTGAGTAGGGTCAGTGGGTACCCAAATTTGCATCGGGAGCAATCAGGCATGATTCTTTTGAATCAAGAGAAAAATCATGCATGCTAGCATGATTGATGGATTGCACGCAACAACTAAATCCTAGATGTACTGATTGTGTGGTTTGCATGTGCTCAGCTGCCTGTAGACTGTAGTGTATGTGCAGCAAGCTCCTCCTCTCCGGGTGAGGAGCGTGGAGATCTTGGGCGTCCACCTCGAGCACGCGAGCTCCGGGAGCCATTCCTTGGCCGCGGCCAGGTCGAAGCCACGGCCGGCGGATCTGGTTGATGCGCCCGCCGTCGCGCGAAGAGAAGAGGGACGAAGAGAGAGAGAGAGAGGCTAGGGTTCCCGGAGGAAGCGGCCGACCCGGAATCCGTCAACAAAGCCACGGGCAGGAGGCGGAGCACCCACCATAGTGGTGCTCCGGCCTCTGCCGGTGCTTGGTTGTGGAGAAGGAGATCCAGTCGAGCCGACGCCGGTCCTCTGCGGCTCGCCGCGGCCCGACCATGGTGGCTCCTCCGTAGCGACCGGAGAGGAGAAGAAACGTGGGGCGCCTCCGCCGTCGCGTGGAGGTGGAGGTGGCATCGGCGGCGCGGGTCGTGGGAGGGAGCGCGTGGGAGACTAGGAGGGATTTGGGGTTTGGGGATTAGGAGTAGTTAGGAGGTCCCAGGCAGTAGGCCTTGCCTCTTCGATCGTGTTCCTTTTGTGCTAGCCTTCTTAAGGCATCCTTTTTAAACTTATGTTTGTACTTAAATATTGTTGCTTCCGCTGACTCTTGTGTTTCGAGCTTGTATTCGAGCCCTCGAGGCCCTGGCTTTTAATATAAAGCTTGTATTATTTTGATTTGTGTCTAGAGTTGTGCTATGCATGATATCTTCCCGCGAGTCCCTGATCTTGATCGTACACATTTGCGTGTATGATTAGTGTACGATTGAATCGGGAGCGTCACACCCCTCGAGCCCGAGCTCCTTCGCCTCCCGTAACCCCCGCCCCTCCCCGGGCTCCTCCTCGCCTCGCCATCGATCGGCCACCGGAGCACCACCACCGGCGACCAGGAGCAGGCCGTCCCCGCACCCTGCCTCTGTCCTTCTCTTCCTCCTTCCATTCTTTCTTCTCTCTCTCTCTCTCTCTCTCTCTCTCTCTCTCTATCTCTCTCTCTC